TCGGCGGTGTCCGCGTGAGCTTGCGAACTTTCGCGATTTTTGACCGATTTTTGGTGCGAAAGTTTCGACTCGAATTCGATCTGCGATTTTTCAGGTTTTTCGATGGTGGACGAATCGAATGCGGGGTCGATCAGTCTGATCCCTAGTCACGTGGCTGTTACGTGTGTAAATTTTGTGAGCGTATGTCACGTGGTTAGGTTTTTACAGCGTTTATAAAAATGAGTTTGAATATCGATACTGCGACTTCTTCTCGAAGCGCCCCTGAGCTTGCAAGCTGAGCTAGGGCGGCGAGCGTTGGGCGGATGACAGCTTATATTGTGCCCTAGAGATCGGCGGTGTCCGCGTGAGCTTGCGAGCTTTCGCGATTTTTGACCGATTTTTGGTGCGAAAGTTTCGACTCGAATTCGATCTGCGATTTTTCAGGTTTTTCAGTGGCGGCGGAATCGAACGCGGGGGCAATCAGTCTGATCCCTAGTCACGTGGCTGTCACGTGTGTAAATTTCGTGGGCGTATGTCACGTGGTTAGGTTTTTACAGCGTTTAAAAAAATGAGTTTGAATATCGATACTGCGACTTCTTCTCGAAGCTCTCCTGAGCTTGCAAGCTGAGCTAGGACGGCGAGCTTTGGGCGGATGACAGCTTATATTGTGCCCTAGAGATCGGCGGTGTCCGCGTGAGCTTGCGAGCTTTCGCGATTTTTGACCGATTTTTGGTGCGAAAGTTTCGACTCGAATTCGATCTGCGATTTTTCAGGTTTTTCGATGGTGGCGGAATCGAATGCGGGGGTGATCAGTCCGATCCCTTGTCACGTGGCTGTCACGTGTGTCAATTTCGTGGGCGTATGTCACGTGGTTCGGTTTTTACAGCGTTTCAAATATCTGTTACACCATTTCGATATTGAGGAGTTATTATCAACATTCTTTAATAAGGTGTATTCAATGTAATATAGTTTGTAATTGTCGTAGAAATTTTGTTGAGAATTTTGTTCCAAATTTCTTGTTCTCGCTTTAGATTTGTTATAAGTATTGACAAGAGGCCGTCGTGTTATTTTTCACAATGCGATAAGTCTTTTGCATCTTATATTTCTTGCGAGGGGAAATAGAATGTAATTGTTGAGGAAATTAATTAACCTCTGATCTGTCAGAAAATATCGCAATATGGTAGGATTAAATACGGAATGACTAAATGTAAGTGTCATAGAAATGGGAACATAATTGCTCGGTGCATTAATTAACACACTAACTAGATTAATTAATTTGCATTCTGCTGTGAAACGAGGAAAGAATAAATAAAGTGAAACTAAAAAGAAAAGTCAAATATGAGAACCATAATATAGTTACTCTGTAAATTAATTATCAGAATGTTAATGTCGTTTAATTACGCAGCAACGAAATGTGCGTAAATATATATAAATTCCCAAGAAAAACTAGTAAAGAAAATTCCCAAAATATAATTACTTGTTTAATTCATAAAAATGTCGATATCGTGTAATCGTAGTTCAAAGAAGTGCCAGAAGGTGGCAGCAATAGAGATAAACGAATAGAATTCAATTAACTCTACGAGGAGACATTTTCTTTCGAGGACGTTCTTAAAAATCTAAAAAGTACTTACATCACTCTGATGATGTCTCTCAATTCCGGTCTGGTAACGTCTCGGTTGCAGAAGAACTCCGGTATCGCGGATCTCATCGTAAAATACATGTCCAGCTTTTTCTTGCATTTTTCCAAGGAGAACTTGCAGCCACGGAGAAACGTCATTAGCCTATAATCGTCTGTAATGGACAAAAAAGCAGGTGCCTTCTTGGGGAGCAAGCAACACCGAAGAGACGCAAACAATCGAAGGAAGAATGGAGATTCTCCGAACGACCTTACCGACACTAGCTCTCGACGAGGAAAATTTTTTAATCCCAAAAAACCGTCTCTTTTTACGTCCTTAATCGTACCATTTTCCACGAGTCACGATTCACAAATGATTGGTTTCTCAGGTTATATCGATTAACTCTACTTTGCGAATTTCCTAACATCTCGGTACCAAGACAAATATTTATTTCTCAATTTAATTTTTAATTTAATTTTTAATTTACGTATTTTAATATCTGCTCTTTATTCGACGTGATTTACAAAGATTGTGTTATAAAAGAAGTGATTTGGAAGATTGGTAAGAACGTGGGGATAATCGGAGTTATTTTGTGCCAATTTAGGGTAATAAGCTTAATAAATACGCGAATGATCGTTGTCCTGCTTGTTTCTCTTTCGAAATCGTATCCCCGAAACAGTAATCAAAGTACAATGGAGATCTATTACACAATTTGCTATTATTACTGGAACCAAAGAAAATTGCAAGATTACGTCAATAAATCATTAATTGCTTTTTGTAATTGATATATTACGCGTGTAACAATTCACTTGCTTCGTGTTTATGCAAAACGTCGATTCTCGTTTGATTATTACCTCTTATTTCCTTGTCACTCGATGACGAAAATGGAATTTGCCGGCAATAATTATTAATCAGTATAATTACCGTGTAATTAAAGCTATATTTTATCCAAATTGCCATTTTTCTTTTGTATATTTTCCTTCGTTATGTTTTCAATTTTTATCTTTTATTTTTCTTATTTTTTTTTTTTATTTTTTATCTCTGATTTTTTGTTTTTCATTTTTTGTTATTTTTATTTTATGAGATATTTGATAAAAATTGTAAAAATGCATGGATTGATTGCAGATACGAAGAGTTATCGATCGAAGAGGAATTACCATCGAACTGAGGCAAGTGAGGTTGCTTGGACAGCCACTCCTTGATGACTTCCACATCTTTGTCGCGAGTCGCCACGTTTTCGTTCAGCTCCATGCGAATCTGCTTCGACATCTCCTCCGACGGTTGAATCAGCAACATCTGGGAACCGGTTATGGTTAAAATAGTACGCATTAATTCGAGATAATTTCGGAAAAGTGCGCCTCAAGAATTCCTTCCTTTCGATTTTTGCAAATTGCAAAACGATACGATATATGTGTGTAATGTGTATTGAAAATATCGATAAAACTCATTTTGTTATTTTAGTAATCTCGTTTACAGTGTGTAGATATTGTATGTAAATTGTACAACTTTGGGAAAATTAAGCGATATTACAATTGATGTTTCTATATTTTTCTCAAAGTTGTATCAAGGAAATGAGAAAGGGACAAAATTGTGAGAAAATTAATTTTAAATCTAAGATATATCTACAGCATCTAGATAATTTCATATGAACTACCTGTAAAAGCGACAATTGTATTACAAAGAGATAGTAATAGGAAAGGGACAAAATTATGTGAAAATTAAATTTAAATCTAAGATATATTTACAGAAAGCTTATCTAGATAATTTTCTATGAACAATCTGTAAGAGCGACAATTGTATTACAAAAAGATAGTAGTAGGAAAGGGACAAAATTATGTGAAAATTAATTTTAAATCTAAGATATATCTACAGGAAGTGTTTCTAGATAATTTCTTATGAACAATCTGTAAAAGCGACAATTGTATTACAAAAATATAGGAAAGGGACAAAATTATGTGAAAATTAATTTTAAATCTAAGATATATCTACAGGAAGCTTATCTAGATAATTTCTTATGAACAATCTGTAAGAATGACAATTGTATTACAAAAAGATAATCGTAGATTATTTAATTGAGAACGTTTCTAGAAAAAGATATAGATAAAAATGGCGAATCGAGTATATAAATTATGTGAAAAATTTAAATTCAAAAAGCTGTCCATTTATTTTACATTTTTTCTGAAACGTCCTCGATTACTAACCTAACCTAACCTAAGAATTTAGTATTCTAAAATATATATGCTATAATTAAAAAAATGCTTAATTTATAATGTAATATTATTTTTAAATTTCGTTTATACTCTTGCGAAATTTATAATCCGAAAATCTATCGAAATGTATTTAAACCACGTTTTGCGAAACAATCGATCTTTTCTTGCATACTTGTAACTAGAAAGGAAGTTAATTTGCGACAAAGAACTAGACACGACGTCGTATGGCAATCTTAAATATGTTAATTCTAACATCCATTGTGGTGTTGCATGCGAAACGACCACTTGCACGATTAATTAGAAAATAAATTACTTCCTGTATCGTCTTACCTTCTTAATATTCAATAAATGATCAACAAAAAAATAATTTCTTCTCTATCATTTCTTAAAACCCCCTTTCCAACCCGAAGAATTTATTTCTTAATATTCCTAATATTCTACAATTTAAATTAAAGTTAGAATTAAATTAAACTTACGATTTAATTACTTTAACTTTAGCTTCCGTTCATTTATTCTAAATAGAAGAATTGGTTAATTTCCTAGAAGTTATTTCGTTTCATTCCTTTATATTATTTTAGTTACAAATTAATTTCTATTTCTAAGAAATTGAATTTTAAAAAAAGACGGGAATATCTCAAAACGAATTTGTCGAAATTAGGAGTAATAGTTAAATTCTTGAGAATAAGATGTCGAGGAAAATTGAAATTTGCTGAAATAAATTCTTCCTAGTTCTATTTCGCAAACCGCACGAAGGAAAATTTGTAGAAATAAACACACTATTTGCAGCAAAAGAAGAGAAAAAGATGGAACCCAAGACCGAGTTTATAATCTAATCTTCGCAAAGCAATAAACCTTTCTATGAATTACCAATACAAATATTAGATATCGAAATCACACCGAAGGAAACTTTACTAGAATTCTATCAAAGTTACTAAGCGAGAAAAAGAAAAGATTAGATACCCTATCGAGCCAAAGATCAAGTCTATCAAGATTCTGTCTTACCAAATCAATAAACATTCTCATAACTTATCTGTACAAATATTAAATATCTAAATAACACTCAAGAAGCTTCTAAAAGTCCTGTTAATAATTTTAAAAGTGTTAAAATGTTTGAAAAAGAAATAAAAGGGAGAAGTAGCTAGTACTAAGCTAGTGGAAGACGTGTTGCCTACTAACCAGGCGTGCAAACTTCCGCAACGAAGTCACCAGATGTCTAAATTCAACGTAACACTAGTAATTATTAATTTTAGGCCCTACTTTGTATAATACTTTTTTACGTAAAATTTGGCGAAGAATCCGAATGTGGGAAAAAATATTAGATGTTCTATTTAAAAAACATGAGGAGACCTTAATATTTCGATAAAGGAGGAAGATAATTAAGAACAAGTTAGAGCATTATATTTCCCCTTAGATACCATGCAACTTTTGTTCGAAACATTTTTTCGTATAACGAATAACTTGTGAGTTATTTTGTCGTCAGTCGTCATATTAGAATACACCCAGTATATATAGTGTCCTATTTGAAGATTCGAACTCAATTATTTCCTAAACAATAGTTCACAACGAATAACTTGTGAGTTATTTTGTGTCGTCAGTCGTCATATTAGAAGACACCCAGTATATATAGTGTCCTATTTGAAGATTCGAACTCAATTATTTCCTAAACAATAGTTCGTATCGAAAAATGTTTGAAATAGAACTTACTCTGTTTTAAGGGGGGCATCTTATAATGATCACAAATTTTTTCTAGGTCTACGTGCTTCTGAGATTTCAAGGTCACCTTGATTTTTTTTAATACAACTCTATACTTTTTTTTACATAATCAAATAGGAAATTTCAGGATAAATCCATTGATATATAATACTTTGGTCTTTCAAGGTTGTTTGAGTCAAGGTCACCTTGAAGTCTCGGAAGCACGTCGACCTAGCAAGAATTTGCGATGATTATAAAATAACCCCCCTGAAACAGAGTAAATTTTATTCCAAATATTTTTCGAAACGAACTATAGTTTAGGAAATAATTGAATTCGAAACTTCTATACATATATATACACAGGTTGGGTCATCAATAGGTTTCGAGGGACTGAACTGTACATATATCTGTTCGTCTATTAATTATTGAACAATATTGGTTATTCTAGTATCTATCAGTTATTCAACAATATTATCATACAGAGTAAAAATTACCGATAAAGAATATCTAATCGTGTTTACTTTTTCTCACGATACTCGTACACACGTTTAATCTCAATGAAATCTGAATTGCAACTAACCTATCCAACCACTCTCTCATTTATTCTCCTTCCTTTCATACATTACATAAATATACACAGTCTATACCACACTTCATTCATTACACGCATACTCGATCCACTCATTCTTTCTTACATACACACACACACACACACACACACACATATATATATATATATTACAGTAACTAATATATTTACTTTGAGGTAATAGTGACATAGATTGTAATATATATATTGTATATATTATATAAATGCTGAGTTCCTTCTCGTTTCAATCCCTCCCTACTAGCTGTCATATTTGACACTATAACTAGACTATTGATATAGGTATAGCTCAGTCAAAATGGCTGGACCCAGAATTTTATTAAAAATTTTTTAATATATTTCCTCTTTGGTAATAGTTGACATAGATTTTAATATATATCCATTAATTATTTAAAATATAATAGTCTAGTTATGGCGTTAAATATGACAGGCAGTAGGGAGGGGTTGAAACGAGAAAGAAATCAGCGTTTGAACGACGGGTAATAACCGTTGCACTCGTTGCAGTGGCGCCCATACAACGGGCATGCGCACTGTAACAGGTTACGCAAATAGCCGAGATACACATCGTTCTTATGCGAGAAATTAATGCTGACCAGAAGAGGCTTGCCTAACGCCAAACTTTCTCTAGCTAGTCACGGTTGACCGGGAGGAATCCGTGTTTCACTTTTTCCTAGGGGAAAAGTGCTCGGCGGTGTTCGTCGTTCCTTTCTTTCCTTTTTCTCTTAGTTCTTTTTCGTCTTCATCGATACGCTTTCGATCGACTGCAAATTAAACACGCGTGTGATCTTCGAGTGAGTTTATGCATACGAGCGTTTCGTAAATATTGCAGCAATTTGTCGCACGTCGTTTGCTGCTCTGAAGATTGATATGAGTACTTTCGATTTTTAGTTGGAGAAGTATAATCGAGGAATAATTGGAACTTGTGGAATTTGCACGTGAGTTCGAATTTTTTGAAGAATTGCAAGTATTAACTTTGGAAAATTGTAAGTATGAATCTGGGAAAATTGTAGGTATTCATTTGGGAAAATTGTAAGTATTAATTTTGGAAAATTGGGTATATTAATTTGGGGAAATTTTTAGTACTCATTTGGGAAAATTGTTAGTATTAATACATTCAATTTTTCAAAATTCATATATACAATTTTCCAAAATTAATGCACGCAATTTTCCAAAATTAATACATATAATTTTCCAAAATTACTGAATATAATTTTCAAAAATTACTACATATGATGTTCCCAAGTTAATACTATAATAGAAATTAATACTATAATTAATATTATTTCCTAAAGTTAGTACATTCAGTTTTTCAAATAAGTATTAATTTTGGAAAGTTTGGTGCACTAATCTGGGGAAATTGTTAGTACTAATTTGGGAAAATTGTTAGTATTAATTTTGGAAAATTGTATATATGAATTTTGAAAAGTTGAAATGTATTATTAACAATTAATGTAATACTAACAATTTTCCCAAATTAGTACTAAGAATTTCCCCAAATTAATACACCAAATTTTCCAAAATTAATACTTATTTGAAAAACTGGATGTACCAATTTTGGGAAACAGTATGTATTAACTTGGGAACATTATATGTAGTAATTTTGGAAAATTATATGTATTAATTTTGGAAAATTACGTGTATTAACAAAACTATATCTCCAAAAGACTAAACGAATTTTAGAAAGTAGTATTAACCACGAATAAAGAACAGAATAAACATTATACCAATACTAAGTACAATTCGAAAAATTTTCGTCTGCTCCAGTACACAAGAAACTAGAAGAAATT